TGAGAAATCCATGTTGACTTTTAGTGATTGTGGCATTCCTTTCTAAATAATAATAATAAAATTCTTTCTAAATGTTCACAGACTCTCTGTTTAATGATCTGCTCTAGAATCTTTCCTGGTATTGATGTCAGACTAACTGCACAATAGTTGTTAGGATCCTCTTTTTTTCCCCTTTTTGAAGATGGGGACAATGTTTGCTCTCCTCCAGTCTGCTGGGACTTCTGCTGTTCTCCAGGAGTTCTCAAAAATTATTGCCAGTGTCTCCGAGATTACATTTGCCAGTTCTTTTAATATCCTTGGATGTAGTTCATCTGGTCCTGGAGACTTAAATTCATTTAGGTTAACCAGGTATTCCTGTACGTCCTCTTATTCTGTGCTACATTTCCCCTATTGTGTCCTCTGCTCTATTTTCCTCAGGTTGACTGTCACATCACAGATTTTTGCCCCAGGGAGACAACACACCTCCCGGGACATCTTGTCAGGCCCACAACCACTGCTTCTGTACCTGTCAGCAAGGAGTCCCCCACCACCATCACACGCCTCCTCTGCGGCTTGGTAGTGGCTGTTCCCTGAGGTGGTACTCTTATGTTCCCTGCACTGTCCCTGAGAACTGTCCCTGCTGCTCTTCCTCTTCATGCTTGATAAGGGATGAAGCTTCAAATCAATTATGTAGCCGCAAGCTCCCAGAACGATCCCTTGTTTTCCTACTTCTGTGTGTAACGTTCCTCCTGCTGTCTACCTCCTGTGTATATGAATTGACCTCCTCCTCAACAACTTCCTCCATGTCCAAGACTGTTCGTTCTGTTCTGTCCAGGAAAACCTCTTGCTCCCTAATATGCTGAAGTGTAGCTAGCTGGGCCTCCAGCTGCTGGACTTTCTCTTCCAGGAGGGCTGCCAACTTGCACTTGGTGCAGGTGAAGTTCCCCACATCTCTAGGCAAGGAAACAAGCATCCCATAAGGTGACTGCAGTAGTTCCCTCAGTGTCCATATTGAGAAATCTTAAGTAAGCACTGAAAGAGGACTGTGGGCTTCTTCCTCAAAAAGTCCCCCCCATAAAGACCCACGTCAAAGGCCCCTGTTGGGTTGGCCATTTCACCAGGCTCTGTCAGTGAGCTCAATCAGCTGGGTTTCTCACTCTATAGCGATCTCCTTGATGCTACCTTATTCTGGAGGCAAATCTCTGACTCTCTTCCTCCACTCAAAATGGCTGCCCAGGAACTGCTTTCCTTCTTTTCCCTGGCAGGGGAGACAATACCAAGCTAGAAAGACCAATGGTATGATTCAGTATAGGAGCCAGTGTGGTGTGGTGGTTTGAGTGTTCGACTAGGACTCTGGGGAGACCAGGGTTCGATTCCCAGCTCAGCCATGAAACCCACTGGGTGACCTTGGCCAAGTCACACTCTTTCAGCCTCAGGGGAAGGTAAACCCCCTCTGAAGACGCTTGCCAAAAAAGCCATAAGTCAGAAACCACTTGAAGGCAACACAATGATTCAGTATAAGGCAGTGATTTAAGTTCCTAACATATTCCCCTCCCTTCATCCACAGTGAAGCTAACACTGCACTGGTTCCTGGTCAGCCGAAGCCTAAATATAACACAAAACAGGTTACATTCCGGCTTTTTTTAGTCAGCAGGTAAGCTCCCACAACAAGGTTTGTGAATATCTGCCTCGCCACACGTATTCCTCACCATTGCCTATGATGGCTAGGACTGTGATGGGAGCTGTCATCCAACAATATCTGGAGGGCCAGACATTGCTGATCCCTAGACTAGAAGTTGTTGGGCCCTTGAGGATAAATACAGTCGGCCCTCCATATCCATGGATTCAACTATCGATGGCTTGAAAATATTCCAAAAAGATATAAATTCCAAAAATGATTTTGCTATTTTATATAAGCGACACCATTTCACTACATCATTGTATTTAATAGGACTTGAGCATCCATGGATTTTGGTGTGAGTTTTTTTTGGGGGGGTGTCCTGGAAGCAAACCCCAGCAAATAGCAAGGGCTCACTGTATCTTTTAAATCTGAAGTGTGGGGCAGGTTTTGAATGGCATTATCTATTGTGCTGCATGGTTTCAGTGTATCTGATGCTGCATTCCAGGGAGGTTAAGTGAATGTCAGTTTTCTTGCAGGGCACAGTTGGGCCTTTTTAAAAAGGCAGGAAATTAATTGAGTCTGCGGAGAAAGCTAGACTAGGTAATTTGATGGCCTTTTCCCAGAACAAGTATAAATGATTCATTGACATTGCCTTCATATTTTAGGCTGTTTCCAGGAGGGATCTAAATTCTCAGTGACAGCTCTTTTCCTCTCTTCCCCTCCCTTATGTAACCAAGCATCTGCATACAAAGTAAAACCAGCCAGGCTACTTTGCATACTTTCCTACTCTTGTCTGAAAAGAGGGCCAAGTGTACTCTGCTGACTCAGGGCTAGTGCAGAAGTAGCACTTACGCCACAGTTTGCATGTGCTTCCATTTCATAGCACCAGCCCTCTCCCTTTTCCTGAGTTGGGCGACTTCTGTCATCATGGCAAAAGGGCTGATGGATCCTTACTGTATTAAGCTGGATTGTAGCTCTCTCTGCCGTGCTCAAAAAAGTCCTATTCTGACATTGTTTTTTAGCACGACTGTCCGAATAATCTCACTAACACATTCCGTTTTATTGTTCCCACTATTTTTTTAATTGGAACTCTGCACATCTCTGCCAGTTCTGTTGTTCAAACATGTCAGCACTCAAATAAAAATAGAACCAATGATGCAGATGCATTCGAAGCACATTCAAGGCATGCAGAGTTTTATCCCTGGTGTGTTCACATCGGTTATTCACATAGCCGACAATGCAAATCTTTTAGGGAAACAGAAAAAAACCCAAGATCGGTTATCCTGGGTTAAGGTGGGCTGTTGTTTTTTTGTAGCCTCCCCAAACTTAATTGGATGCAGTCGAACAACAAAGATTCAACCTACATTCTTCCAGAATTATTTTCACTCTCTGAATAACCCCAAAGTGACAGAAAGAAAGTGCTACGATGCAAGGGAAATATTTGAAATGGACCCATGTCCTCATTGCAACTGATAGTACAGCACTCAGGTATTGTGAACAAGTCAAACACAATGACATGCAACACACACAAATCTTGTTCTGTTGGCAGAGTCTGTCAAAGGAGCAGCTTGCTGTCTCAAGGAAAAACTGTCAAAATGTGGGTCAGCCACATACAGCATTTTCTTTCTTTTCCTTTTTTTAATAGCTCATTTTTATTAAACACAAATAACACCACAACAAACACAAATACTGTGTGTGTGTATATATATGTGTGTATAAGAGACTAAAAACTACTTTGCATAGTTTCCTACTCTTGTCTGAAAAGAGGGCCAAGTGTACTCTGCTGACTCAGGGCTAGTGCAGAAGCAGCACTTACGCCACAGTGCAACTGCAAAACTGCAAAAAAGGAAAAAGGATACAAAACTCAACAACAATCCTAACGTAACAGAAAAAACTAACAAACACTCTGATTTCCTCCTCCCAAGAATTCTCTGTGCTCAGAGGTGGAAGAAAACTGCTGCTCCAACTCAAAAAGATTGGCTGGTGAAGATAGTTGAACTTGCTGAAATGTACAAAACAGGCAGCATTTTCAAAATGAGAGAACCCCATGCTGTGCATTTTGAAAGGGTTCAGTCCTGACTGGTATCAATGTGTGTTTTCAGAGTGCTAGAAGAAAGTATGAATTCTATTTTTGGACAGAGACAGTCCATATGGGAATTGTGTCATTCTAGCTAGGTATTTGAGAGCCCAAATCCAGTTGCTATTCCTAACTAGAATAGACCCTCTAAATAAATTGATTTTTTTGGTTGATTCCAGCCAATGGCAACCCTGTTCTTGGGTTTTCTTGGCAAGATTTGTTCAGTAGGTTTGCCATTACCTTTCTCTCAGGTTGAGAAAGTGTGACTTGGCCAAGATCACCCAATGAGTTTCTATGGCTGAGCAGGGATTCAAACCCTGGTCTCCTAGAGTAGGTCCCATTCATACTAGCGCTTTGTGGCAGGTAGATTTGGGGAGATTCAATAATGCATTCATTCATACAATACTGAATTTGACCCAATGTAAAGTTTACACTGTGTTTACCCCAATCGAATCTATCCAGTGCAATATAACCCTCTGGAAGTTCACACTAACGAAAGTACTGATTCAAAATGGATCCTCCCTACCTATCGCATTTGATCATTTACGGGTATTTTTTTTTGTTCTGTCAATCAAATGATGCGCATCTACGTCACTTCCGTTGTCTACATCACTTCCGTTGTCATCGTTGGTGATGTCACTTTGTATCCAGGGGGAGGGAGGGAGGAATTAACACTTGGAAGACGTGTCCTCTATTTTTGCCTTCTGCCCAGGAACAATGTCCAGAATGTCTTCCATTTTGAATAGGACTAAGAAGCACATATTCTATATTTATATGAGGTTTTATTGAGGCATGTCCTCCATTTCCCTTTCACATCGTCCATTTTGCGGTGCCTCATTCTTCTCCCCTCCCGGCAGGAACAACATCTATCTGGTCACCCTGGGATGGGGACAGGGTGACCAGAGCCTTTTTTCCCAGGGCCTATCCTCCATTTCATCCTCCTGTCTAGGAAAAATGTCCACATGCCCTCCCTTTGGAGCCTGGCTGAGAAGCATGCATTTTATACCACAGAACCATCAGATTTCCTCTGAGCCCATGGCAGGGATGGGGGTGCCAAGGCTGGCTAGTGAAGGATCCTCCATCCTTCCCTCCTTTTCCCCTTCCCTCTTTTCTCCTCCCTCCCCCATCCCTCCATCCTTCCTTCTACCCACCCACTCCTCCTTACAATAGCATTGTTGGGGGACCCAAAAACAGAATGAATCACCATCGTGTGGAAGCCACACAAATGCAATGGATTGCACACTCTGTGAAAAAAAAATATTAAAACCATGTTCCCAGAAGAACCCCTTCCCCGGCTTTAGCGTTCCAAACATCTGGCAATGGCATCGTAGGGGGAAAATAGCAGAAAAGGAAAACAGCTGAGCAGTTGTTTAAAGGGCACACCAGTGGGAAATTTGAAAACACTCAGAACCAGCAACTAAGCACAAGCACAGAAATGGCATTTGCTATGGGATAGGCATGTTCAGCCCAGCCTTTG